TCAGATTGAATCTACACTTCCATTTGTTGTATTGTGAATTGGTGTCTTGGTCGGGTCAGATTTAGATAAAATTTAAATATGATAAAATATTAATCAAAATCAAGATTTTGATTATTTTTAGTCAATAATTTGACTAGTTTTAACTTTGTAATCAACTAGTTTATACCGGTTGAAATGGTAAAATAAAGTAGGCAACTTTTTAATATATTATACATTTTAAAGATTTATTTATGGGTTACAGTTTGTATAGAGCCTATGCTCTAAACGATCAAATTAGAGCCTACCTTCAAATAGTATTGAGAAATGTGGTTTCGATACTGAAAATCTTTATGATCGCCTAAAATATTTTTCAATCTTTGTTTATAATTTTAAAGCTTCAAAAATAGTGTAGATCGCTAGATCTATGAAAACTTGAAAATTTTGAAAATTGAAGGTTCAAAAATGTGTTACAAAATACACTATATCCAAAACATGAAATCCATTTTTTTCGCATGTACATACATCTTGATGTCAAGATGATCAATTTGAGGAAATTTGGGCAACAAAACAACCTCTTCTAGTGAAATTTTTAGAGGTAAACTCTAATACGATTGTTTAGAGCCTCGGCTCTATATAAACCTTTCCCTTTATTTATATAATTTTTAATATTTTTTAAAATCCAAACAAACTAATTCAACCAGTAGTCGAACTTATTTGGACTTAGAGTGAAGTAATTATCCTGTCTGCTTGCCTTCATTCCCTGTAGAGAGAAACTGGCGATGCTTGGGGACGATAGAGAAAGAGAGAGAGAGAGAGAGAGAGAGAGAGAGCCGCAGAGATAAAAGGAGAAAATAGAAGGGTGGGACAAGGCACCTATACCGTTTACTTGCTCTCCCCTCTAATATATAATGCATATGCATTATATGTTTAATATTAATCACTGAAACATATGTATTATTGAAAGACAATTTTAATAAAACATAATCTTACATATCATTCAATTTATCCCCACAATTGAATAATTTTATTAAATAATAATAAATTTGATATTAAATATTATTTTTATATAATATTTGTAACAACTTGAGAAGAATAGAATTTCTTTAAAACCATAAAAGAAAGAAATAATTTAGATATACCATTTGTGTTAAAATAAGACCAGAGGGAGACCAAAAAATTTGAAATGTTATTTTAAATAGAGGAATCAAGAGAAACATAGTGTAAATGAAAAGTAGTGAGACAAAGATAGAGGAGATGCAATAAAAATTCGTACTTAAAAAATAAAAATTATTCAAGTAACTAAAAAAAAAGAATTAAATCTTATATATACTTCATCGCATATTTTTAATTAAAAATATGATGTTGTAATTACAAAAGCAATGTAATATTCAAATATTCATAAAAACTTTAAAATATAAAAATTATAAACACGTATAAAAAGTAAAATTGAGATGAAAACAAATCGACACATCATTTAACATAAAAATCAAAAAGAAAAAATAATCTTTTTTTTTAATACTCATTATCAATGGGCGTTACCTAATAAAATAAAAATAACTTATAAAATAAAAATAAAAATATTACTTCCAAATAGAGAAATCAAAAGAAACATAATTCATTGAAAAATAGCAAGACAAGGCTAGATGATAAATTACATAAATAAATAAGCTCCTGATAACTTAAATAAATAATAATGAAAATAATTCAATAAAAAAGGAACAATAATAATAACAAAAATAATAATTATGTTCAATTAGAGAGAGATAAGAGTGAATGAGACCAAACTCGAAATATATTGTATATAGATCGAGAAATAGCATACATTCTATGTTTCTATTAGAAAAATATTTCCAATAAACTGGATGATACGATAGTCAAGAAAGAACAGGGTCATAGGATAAGCAAGAGAGATTTAGAAAGGGATAGATTGATGGAGAGATTGAAGGAGATAGAGATGAAAAGAGATATGGAGGGAGAGTTCGAGAGATATTTAAGGAGGGAATATTTGCATGATCATAACTGTAACACAGAGAGAAAGGTGGGATGGAGAGATTTAAGATTATGGGATAGATTTAAGGAGGGAATATTTGCACTGTAGAGAAACCTGGGAGGTAGGTAGAGACATCAAAAAATAAAGAGAAAAAAAAATAAAAGAGATTTCAGTCACACTTCACTTCTAGAAAACCATGTTTTTTGTTTTTGTGAAGGAAGCGAAGCAATGGTGTAGTCTCTCTTGACATAAAGGAACGAGCTCACACCAGAGCAAAAGGTATGCACTTAATTTTCTCTCCTCTAAAACTCTATCCCCCCCTTTTCTCCTCTAACTTTTATTCTGTCATTTGACATCTCTCTCTCTCTCTCTCTCTACGAAGCAGGATGGAAAAAGTTTATGGTTGGGCATGGTTTTCTTGTCTCACTAGCCTATCTTGATCAGGCAACTGTAATTTCTCTCTCTCTCTCTATGTGGGACTGGGACTGAATCAATTTGTTGTTAGAGTGGAGACGGATCTTCAAGCGGGAGCGAGTTACAAGTATGAGGAAGGATGAGAGATGAAATTCTTTTTCATTTCTTTTCATTTTGGGTTTTTTTTTCAGTTTTTGGGTTTTGATCCAGAAAAATAACGTATGATGGTGCGTGTAACAGCTGCCATGGATGGTGCTTATTGGTCTTATCTTTGTTCTCATAATCCAGTCATTTGCAGCAAACCTAGGAGTCTATACAGGTAGAGAGAGAGCACAAAGAGTAAGAGGAGTAAATACAGTTGCCGGGATCAAGGCCCAAGGTATGCTAAAAAATTTCTCCATCCGGCATAGTTGGCTATCAGAGTAGCTGGGTTCCTTTACTATGCCATTGCTTCCCCTCCATGAAGGCTCCTTGCACAGACCTTCACCACTTCCAAGATCTATACTAATTTTTTAGTTTTAAATTTTATTGTTGGTATCAAAATTCGAGCCATCATGAAGATTTTTGTGTTGAGGCTTTATTTTGTTTTCTGAAAGCTTGAATCTATAGAAACTTCATCCCTTTGCCAAAGATGTTATACATGCATGGCGAAGAAAAGAAAACAATAATACACAAGAAACCATACAGGCATAATTGAGAGCTTGTAACTTTGATTCATTTGTTGGCCTTGAATACGAAATTAAGACTATTTGTCCCGTCCAGTGTTTGCAAAATCGGCCGCTCCGAATCGGAACTGGCCGGTTAAATCAGTACCCGCAAGGTATCGATTCTGGTTAAGGCCGGTTTTGTGGTAACCGATTGGTTCGATGTTGAACCAGAGGTTTTAATTCAAAATCGAATTCAAAACCGGCTGGTTTCCGATCCGGTTTACCGATATCACTGGCGATATAACATTCATAACGGTATCATATTAAATAACGACACAGTTATTATTTTAAATGATTCATGTTTTGCAACCTTTTTTTTATTCGATTTTCTAGCTTTTTTTTTTGGCAAATTATTGCACTTATACATCTGAAATTTTCTATAAATAATTGTTTATTGAATAAAAAATCGAAGAAGAACAATTTTCGGATACTGTAAAATGGAGGGCTTATTCATTACTGAAGCCTTAAACTTTTTTCTATTTTGATCGATTTATTGATCATTTTTTATTGAATTGATTAGTTAATTTTGATCATCAAAGCTTCATCAATCGAATACCTACATCAAGTATGTTAATTTATCATTGAGTATATTTATTTATATGATTTTTTTTGCCGTATTTTTGTTATCCGCCATTTTTTGCAGAACGAGCTCAATAGTAAATTGATCTTGGGGCATTGTAATCGTAATTGAAGTATCTATCATATTTCTCAATTCTTTCAAACAATGAAAGTCTCTAAAGTTTTTGTGTTCTTTGGCTCGATTTTAGGGTTCTTAAAAATAATTTGTTTCTCAATAAAATTACTTTTTTTTAAAAGAATATGTTATTTATGATGAATATGAAAAAAAAATAGATTCTTTCTTTTAAAAATTATCAAAACCTAAGGTGCGCATACTCTGCCGACGTGCCACGTGGGTCTCCTTCCTTTTACCTCTTCGATGTGAGATAATGTAAAAAAGTATTAAAATATTAATATATTATATATTTTATTTACACTTTTAATATCACAAAGTTGTATGTAGCATACCGGTTATCAAACACATTCGGTGTGGGGAGGATGTTGGTTCAAATCCCCCCTCAAGGGAGGAAACGTTGTTTTTTGTTTTTTTTTTTCGGTTAAATTTTTTTTTTATCAAAAAAATGAAAGGTTTTTTTTTTTATCAATTTCGCTTTTTGTCAAATTTTTTTCTTATCAATAAAATAAAAAGTTTCTTATAAAAAAATATGAAAGGTTCTTATCAATTATTTTTCTTGTCAAATTTCTTTTTTTTTTGTCAAAAAAAAATAAAAAGTTTTTGTCAAAAAAAATAAAAAGGAATAAAAAGTTATTGTAAAAAAAAAAAGTTCTTATCAAAAAGAAAGGTTCTTACTAAAAACAAAAAAAACTGTAATACGACAAACATTTCTTGTAAAAAATAAGAAATGGTTTTTGTCAAAAAAATTAAAAGGTTCTTATAAAAAAACCATTCTTTATTGTAGTCCATATATAGTTCATCCATGATAGTTCCATGAATTTTATTTTGTGTGATGTAATTTAATAGTTAAAATTAGTTCATATAGAAAAAAAAAAATCTCAATATGCATATATTGGTGAAAAAAATGAAAATTAATAATGTAATACCCCAATTTCTTATTGGATTCTTAAAAAACAACATTTATAATGAATTTTAATAAGTTTTTTAAATTTGTTTTAAAGTTACTCCGACTGATTCGGCCGATTCTCAATCCGGATCGCCGATCTATCGAGGTGCTCGATCCTGACCACTTGACCGTTTTTTAAACGACTGGGTCAAATGATCGCTCTTCTCTAAACAGATCTAGTTATTTGCTCTCTCTTCCCCCCCCCTCACAAACCACACCACCCCTTCTCTCCCGGGCCCCAAAAAAATGCAAACCTGACCAACGGTTTAGAGTCACTCTATTCATCAACAGCAAACTCTTTGGCTTTAAGCGAAGTTCCACGAAAAACAAGCTTACCATGACAAAGAGGACAAAAATAAAGACATACACAAAGAGGACAAAAGATAAAGACAACGATACCGATATGCTGCAATAAAGAGTAAATTTATCGGCTCGGATACAGCCTCAAAGCTTTACCATCATCAAGGATAATCATTTCTGCAATCTTTTTTGATAGAAAAGTTTAGCATTCTCTCTCCACCAAGACACTTCCGTTTCTTTCTCCAAAAGCCTTCTCTCCGAGCATTCCAAAGCGTTCTCAAGTTCAGTTATCCTTTCTTGTTGCCTTTTCTCGAGAAGTTCATGTAGCCTGCGCTCAAGCTCACTAGCCGATACCCCACAATACTCGCTCATAACCTCTTCACGAGGAATCTCTTCTACACTCAACTCATTACTTCCATCCAGGCGACAATAGTCATCCACAACCGTCTGTGAAGTATAACTCTTTAGACATGGAATGGATTCTTGATTAATTCTGAATTTGTTTGTACATATAGGTTTAATGAACCAAGGTAATTAATTGTTAGCATGCACATGGATGAAAACAGAGGACTGAAGGTTTAGTGTTACTTTCTCATTAACACATGGGTTAGGAGGGTTAAGTGTTACTTTCTCATTAACATAGATTCTCTGGATTTCCCGTAAGAATTAAAGGAAGAAAACCAAATCAGTTCTTAACATTCAATTTGTCAAGAATCATCAAAGCTAAAGCACGGAGCGTATTTCAAGAGAGAGCTTTGACGAGGAGACGATTCATCTACAATAGCCTAAGCAACTAAAAATGACCTCCTCAATTAAGTCGTGGCATGGGCATACCAGTTATTCAGGAGTTAAGTTCCTTACCTTTCATTCTTGAAAATAAGAGGGCATTGTGTGGAAAGTCCCATAACTCAAGAGTAAGTTTCATTTTTCTCCCCATTAGAAAACATAGAATTTTCTCTGCCCAGTCTACTCCAAAAATAAAAAACATGTAACCCATCTCATGAATAAACCCCATCAGTGAATAGAGCTAAGGCCAGTTTGGACGAAAGTTATTTGCTATATGTCAGTTTCAGTCTCTCTACTTAGCAAAAAGAAAATAAAGAAATATATTTCACTCTCTATGCCCTGCTTGCTTGATATAGGGAAAATGAGTCTTCTTTTGTCCCCTTTCTTTCCCTATTTGGGCTGGGTAGAGATAACAATCCTTTTCAAGTAGTCTGGGCAGAGAACAAGGACATACTCACGGAACGTCCCTTTTGACTGTTTCAACTTTCAAGTAAGCATTGCAGAGAAACGCAAAACTTTAAGCCAAGTGATCTGTCCAAACTGGGGTAAATCTTAAAGGAACACAGATATGGGCTCGTGCACACACATAAGAATGAGACCACTTGGGTGACCTCCATTGTCCACATAGACAAACACTCATATTCTGTATCAGATTTTACTGAAAGATATACTACATCAGTAGATGTGGGCTTGCTTGGGTGTTTCTGCATCCAAATTTCTTCCTAAATCACCCTTCTTAAATGCAATATTCATTAAAAATATCTTCTCTGCAAGGAATTTTAATTTTAATTTTTTTTTAGTGACACGATAAGGGTTTTCTTTTTTCTTTTTTCTTTTTAAATTCTCCTTAATAGCCATGACAATTACAATTTAGAAATGTCTAATATTTTAATAATATTGTTGTCGAAGCTTAAATCTAAATTTAAAAAAGTTAAGCAAAATAATGGTCTCTATCATAAGTATTTTATAGCCAAATACTTACCCTGATGAAAACCCCACCCATGGCCCTAATAGCTACCAACCAAATACAAACAAATCTACCCAACATAATATGCTCATCTTTGAAAACAATAAAAGATGGATCACTTACAACCCAAAAATGGGAGAGAAGCTTGAGAAATGGGAAGTCAGTCTACAAGCTACTTCTCTTTCAAAAATACTGAAACAAGAAGAAGGAAACAAGAGTAAGGTTCATATCAAATCCAAGAATTGCCCGACATAAACATAAAAATTAAGAGAAGAAAAAGAGTAACAAGCGTGCAGAGAAATTGTTCAACAAGGAGGGACTTTGAACTCACAATTACATAAATTAAGAAGCCTCATAAGAGGGTGTAAGTTCAGTCATTTTTTAAGGGGATTTTATGTTAAGAAAAATTTGCTTTCACCTTTGAGGCAAGGCCCAAGCTACTTCACAAGCACCAGCAGAACTCCAACTTGACATGCAGGTAACAGCTTCAATATGAATGTCACATAATGGTTTTTTTGCTGAATTAAACATCACAACATGTTGGTCTGAATCAACTAAAATATATGCATGAAGTACGTAAGGAATGTGCAAGTAACAACTCGTTTTTTGTGTTATTATTCAAAACAGATATTGGATATTTCATAAGAACAAATATGCAATAACTGTGATGGGAAGCAATGCCAAAATCAATCTATAAAAGGGTGGACAGCAAGCGAAGAAAGACACATACAGTACATGGAATCACTTGGAATGAGTAAATTGAAGATCAAGGAATAGATGAAATCAGCTTTATACCTCCTCTCTTTGGTGGTTTTTCTTCTGAGAAAAATATTCAGTATCCAAGTTAAGTTGCAAAACTTCCAATTCAGCTTCAAGCTCTGCTTCAAGTTGATCCCTCTGCATCTGTTGAGCCATCTCATTTCCTCTGACATAGTTAGGGAGCTTATCAAGCTGTGTAGCACAACTAGCATTAGCTAGTTGTCCCATTGACATATGATATTTATGGTATAACTTGTCACCAGAATCATTGATTCCTTGGTAAGCTGGAGTAAAATATACAATATCACTTTGCTTTCTGTGATGCTCAGACAACACATCCCTCCTCCTCTCTTCTTTGATATCTTCAAGAATGTTCTCCATTCGCCTTTGCAAGTCAAACATATACATTAGGAAAGCCAGACCAATTCCAACCCCAAAGCTGAAAGAAACCTCCCCCTGGGATTTTCCTGGAGAGAAAAAAATATCTTCCACATGTAAATATATAGAGAGAAACAAAATGAGGGATGTTTCTCTATTTGATTGGAGAAGCCAAAATGAATAGTAAGCAATAAATGAGAAAGATTGATCAGTAAAAATATGATATGAAGACAAGTATTTCTGAGAATATAAGCAAACAGATATGGTGTTGGATACTACTGTAAATTCAAGGATTTACACACAAAAAGAAAGTTTAATTCCTTGATGTTCAAAATAATTTGGCAAGCAAGGGATTTGAACTCATTCATTCTGAAGTGGTTATAATCCAAATTTATCCAAGTCAGCCACCTAAACAAGGTTCAAAACCATAGTCACCGGAATCTCTCCACCGACCTCGCGATTCTGGTTCCGAAACCCGATTCCGTGTTTCCATTAAGGAATCTCCACAGAAACCGTTTTTTGGAACCAATGAAACTCGATTCCTCAATTTCGGAATCTCAATTCAAAACATCTTTAGAAACCATTTTTTAGAACCAAGGAAACTCGATTCCTTAATTTCGGAATCTTGATTCAATAAATCTTTGGAAACCATTTATCAAAACCAAGGAAACTCGATTCCTTAATTTCGGAATCTCGATCCAACACATCTTTAGAAACTTGAACCCATTAATTGTAGGTAGACGTTCCCAAAATATATCAAATCTGGATTCTAGCAAGGATTAAATCTTGATTCAAAACTAAATATATTCAAAGTATCAAAAAAAAAAAAAAACCAATTGAAAGTACGTAATGTCCAATGTCTATGATGGTTGTGCACTTCCTAAAGGAAATTGGAGTAGAAATCTTCCTTCGAATGCTTCTAGTGGTTGCAGGTTTTTATTATTTTACCTGTGCCACCCTAGATGGATTTTACTTTAAATTTAAAATATAACTGATAAATACAACATATACAATTGAAAGTAAAACCATGACATAGACATAATTCTATTTTGTCTTTATAATAATGAAGTCAAAATCACAATTTCGAAATACTTATCTTTTCTATATAATGACAGTAAGTTCAATAGTCAACACAATCACTTTAAAATTTCGAAAACCTTCTAATAAGAGACATCCAATATAGGTTCTAAAGTTGATAAGGCTCAAGATGTTCTTGGGGCTTCCTTCTCCATAAAAATGAAATCTTGATTTCTGGTATGGGTTCGTCAAATGCATTCTATAGTCTATATTATTGTAAATCTCGATCTCAAACTGGCATGAATCTCTGATCCATAAGCTTCAAAAACTTGATTCCAAATATGTTAGAATCACGATTCGAAACTGCAACATACCATATGTCAAAAACTCGATTCCATAGATGTCGGAAACTTGATTCTGCATATTAATGAATCTTGACTCCTAGAGTGTTGATTCCAAGGGGATGGTAATCTTGATTCCAAAGAGGACAGAATCTTGAATCCATATGTGGATGAAACTTGGATCTATTTCAGTCAAAACATGATTATCAAAAACTGAGAATCTCATTCCCCACGATTCCTATTGTACGGACAACGATTCTTAAGACAGGAATCTTCTAGCTGGCGGCGATTCCGCGATTCCGATTCCTAAAACAATTCGGGTTCCGAAGCGTTTCCAACAACTATGAACTCATAAAAATATATAAGAGATAATGGTATTTTTCATTTCATTGGTGTTGTAATGATAAATTGTAAAAATTGAAACTCACACCGGCAAATTACAACCAATGATTGGATAATCAGTTTCACATGTCCACTCTATGCAAACAGTCATGATGAGTATGAGATAATGATTAAACCCAAAATTTATCCAAGCCAGACACCAAAATTCGAACTCATTCATTCTGAAGTGGTTATAATCCAAAGTTATCCAAGCCAAGCACCTAAACAAGGTTCAAAACTTATAAAAATATATAAGAGATAATGGTATCTTTTCATTTCATTTATGTGGCAATGATTGATTGTAAAAATTGAAACTCACACAGGCAAATAACAACCAATGATCGGATAATCAGTTTCACATGTTCATTCTATGCAAAATAGTCATGATGAGAACGAGAAAAAATCATGGTTCCTACATAAGTCTCAATTAGAATGAAGAAAGTCTAGTTGCTAAATAACGTATTAGTCTATTTGCACACAAATCAAGAGTGGAAGTTTATGAAAAAACATAAAGTTACCAAGTACAAGTCAATTCATCCAAATTGTATAATGCTGAGGCATATTTTATCCTCTATACCGCAATAAATCAATCATGGAAACAAATAAGCTCCAAATCATCATGCTTACTTAAGGCCATAGCAGGAACTCTCCGTATTGAAAAACACAAAATCTTGGAAGCATGCATGGGATATTGACAAGGGAAATATTCCATAGGATGGAGCTTTACCCAAAGAAATACAGCAAGGCTTGACCATTGGAGTTCCATAAAGAAAATATATCTTTATGTGGTTAAGTACATTATGGTTGCAATTTGAAACCTCGGATTTGAGATGAGGACCGCCATATCAACTAGGCTACGTGGTAGAACCCATTGTCCTTCCCAAATAACTTAGCTGTAATTAAATAATCACCCATTTCCAATAAAAAAAGGGCAGAGGCACCTTAAACTCCCACAAAAATGCTTCACGACAGGATCCAAAACTGGTTGTTGAAATCTGCTTATGATAGGTTTATGAAAAAAATTGCCTTGCCTCTTGGAAATCTCCCCCAACAAGGTATATAATCAAAAAACTTCTGCAGACAAATTAAAGTTTAAAGAAAAGTAGAAAAGAACAAGATGAAGGCCACAAACACAACAATGCTTACTGATTCTCTTCAGAGAGAGAGAGAGAGAGAGAGCGAGAGAGAGAGAGAGATAGAGAGTGAGATTCACCTGAGGCTGAGGCCAACTCTTCAGACTTTGAAAAACTCGCTGTAGAAACTGGTAACTGGTCAGAACTCTCCAACCCAGAGCCACTGCAAGTACCATACTCATCAAAAGTACCATCTCCCCTACTCTCCTTACAAATTCCTGAAATGGTTTCAGTAGAAACAATTTCTCTCTCATCCGAAATAGACAGAGCATTCATCCCTACCTCTTCTCGCCTCTGTTTCTTCGTCTTCAAGAGCTTCACACATTTGCGCTTCTTGTTGCTCCTTCCCCTCTCTCTACACCCTGAGAATCCCATATTCTCCACAACATGATCCTCTGCAATTCTAGCATGTGAAGCCACATTACCCAAATTCAAATTCTGTGATTTCCCTCCAAAACCCACATCTAGACATGGAGTTTTTGATAAATGTTCAGCTGTAGCAGTCCTTTTGGGAATCTCAGTTGCATTACTGTTTGAACCATGAACAACCCAACCAGTAGACAATTTACTGTTCTTTGGCTTTGCGGATTTAAAAGAAGCAAACCATTTTGAAAGAAGAAGTCTTGGCGAAGTTGGAGCAGAGAAAAAGCCCCTCTCTCTCTTATAACCATTGCTTTCCTCAAGAAAGTCAGCCATTCTCATCTGCTTCTTGTAAAGAGCAATACTCTCAGATTGCACCTTAGTTTCTCCAAAGAAGCAGAGCCCTTGTACCTTTGCTCTCAAAGACAAAGGCATGCTTTTAAGCTTGTAAAACAACTGTAAAAAGACACAATATTCAATTACAATAGATTCAGTTATCAACACAAGAGGATAATTATGAGACCAGGAAAGACATTGAATGGGGACAGATGGGGATGAAAGATTAACAGTTTTTATGGAGAAGATGAACAAATACATGAAACCCTCAAAGATTTCATAATAAATGTATACGAGCTTGATCTAGTAATTAGCAGCAGACATTAATTATAATAATGAATATGCATATAAGAATTTCAAATGAAATCACATCTTCCAAGATCTTTTTCTTTTAAGAGCACCCACTATATTTGTTTTGCAGTCATTATGCAAAATTCCAAACCACTTTTTAATTTTTAAAAGTAGGAAAATAAGGTGAATCTGAGCTGATTTTAGGATTAAATGAATTATTTCCAAGTTTGCAAGATTTCATGGGATTTTTCCCTGAAATTTAACAGAAATAGGCGTGATTTACCCATTACGGAATATACAAAAGAAAAAGGTGAAGAAATTTCCAGTGAAGTTGGATATTTTGAAAATAAATCCGATAAATTAGACCAAATTCACTCAAACAATCATTAACCCAATTTTGATTTCACACTAGTAATTTCAATCTCAATATCCCTTTCACCATGCTTTTACGTCGAACCTGCCTAACAATAAAGGAAAATAAAGAGAATAGAAATAGAGGGCAATGTTTCAGTGGTTTTGCAAATGAACATTACTTACCTGTTAATGGAAATTAGGGCTTCATGCAAGGCTTAAGAATTATACAAAATCCAAGAACATATCATAGTTTCCAAAAGTGGCGGCATTCACTGGCGACATTAAATGCAGAGAAAGAAGCATTCGATTCTCATGGCGAAATTAAATGCAGAGAAAGAAGCATTCGATTCTCATGGCGAAATATGCGGAGGCCTCAAAAAGCTGGTTCCCCTTTTGTTCTTCAACCTCTTTCCATTGTTTTTCACTTTTGTAAGTCAATATTTACAGTGAATGTTCAAAGGTATGAGAAGCTGCCTTCTACGGTTTCCAAAGTGGAAGAAAAAACCCTAGCAAATTTCCGCTTGGAATTACAGTGAGAGAGGAGCTAGGGTTTTCTTCATGTTTGGGGATTAGTTTTACTGGTTTTAGGGAGCGACGACACCCTGACATTATGGAATTTATGGCGCCATTGCTTTTGCAGGCGTTATTTTTTGAAATTTTTTTTTTAAAATAATCATTATTGTGGGCGTTATTAGGAGCGTATCCACTCCAGCATATGCTCCCGCGGGAACATAGCATACAAAACTCCCTCTAGCAAAATAGCAGATCCATCAACCGTTAGATGATTATTTAAAAGGAAAAAATTGGATTTTATGTCCTTGATCATCTAAAGAAATACATCTTTTTTTATGCACGCAATGAGTTACGTTTATTATATATTTTTTTGGTGGCGTTTCCTTAAACAATAGCATCTCCAAATTTTATCATAACCCGTAATTTTGGTGTAAAATATTCTTAGAATTATCTAAAAATATGTTTTTTTATCAGAATGTTAAAATTTAAAACTTCAAAAATAGTTAAAATCAATTAGATTTATAAACATATGAAAATCTTGAAAATAGATGCCTTAGATTATTGCAAGATGTACTATTTTGGGACTCAAAATTTTCTTTTTTTCATATTCATATAACTTGATGTGGAGATGATCGAGCGTTTTTCAACATTAAATCAATATTTTTCGATAGATTTTTGAAGTGCATCTTTAATTCTACATTTTAAAGTTGCAACCTTATATATGAACTTTCGTTTTTTTTTTTTTGAGGTTGGTTGTTTCCAAACTTTTCATTTTCAAAATTCTTCAATTTTTAAAATACCACTCTAGTTATCCCATTGTGATTTTTATTCTTACAGTCGCTACTCCACTTAATATCTTAAAAACCTAATTCTTAAACTATTTGAAAAAATGGATAAGATCGGTCTTCTCCACTTAATTACTAAACAGAAGACTATTGGTGTGTTTATTTTTTTTGGTTTTTTTTTTTTTGTTAATGATGATTGCAAACGGCTTCCTCGTCATGATTACAAGAATAAATGTGAAGAAAAGGAAAAAAAAGGTTGGACGTGATTGGAGAAAGTACAGACCCGTCTAAGGTTAGGAAAATTGTTTAAGGTAGGACCACATTTCTACATGGGGCCCATACGTATAAAATATAGATGCAAATAGGTGGTCCAAATGTTTTTTTAATATAGTTGTTATTTATAGTTTTTAATTTTATTTTATCTTCATATTCATGATTTCTATGTTAAAGATTATATATTCTCTAAAATTTCTATAATAGGCGGGGTTGGCCGCATAGAAGCCATGTCCCTAGTGTTACAATGAAAAGTTTAAAATGCATTTGATTGATTAAAGGGTTAACAATAAAAAGAAAAATAAAAGGGAAAGTATATGATGAGATCATTTACTTTTTTTTATAAGATGATCACAATTATCCTTCACCATTAGATGTGAAATTGGGTGGCGACATTTATTTTATTGATCAAGTTCAAAATTCAAAAGTAATTTTTTCGAATTTTGTGACACACCAAAGCTGTCAGATTTTACATCGGATGGTTATAAATAATTGTGACCTCTTTATACTAAAAGTAAATGGTCTCATTGTATGCAATCTCAAAATAAAAGAACTATAAAAAGTGAAGAAGAGAAATAAGAGACGTGTATGGAGCAACCCAACTAGGATTTAAAAGAAATAATAAAATCCATTGCTATGGACTACAAGAAATAAAGTTGAAAAAAATAAATAGGGCACCTTTAAATTCATTCTCTTGATGATGTAGTTTTGGTATTGAAAACCTTATGATGACTTGTGATATTTAAAATACCAAAAATGCTTGAAAATCTATTTTTCTTCAAAATACCAAAAATGACAAAAGTGACGTAGATTAATAAAGACTTAAATTTTTTACAAATAGCCGTCCAAATAATTTGTTGCATTATGTACAAATTTTAATATTTAAAATTATTTTTTCTTCTTATCTATAAACTTCTTATCTATACAGGTCGAGTTGATTAAATTAGAAGATTTTGCAACATTCGAATAATTTTTTCTAATTTTTTAGGTGCACCGAATTTCTATTGTTTAAAATTGACACTAATAAATACTTCTTTCAAATAAGTAAGAGACGTGCGTGAATCAACACAAGTGGGATTAAACAAACGGTGGAAAAATATCACATTGTCCGCACGTAAGCCAACAAAGTCTCACATTCTTAACATTAAAAAAAAAAAAAAAAAACGCAAATTTTTTTTTTTTGAGAAACTTTCTATACTTCTCCGCGTTAGACATCTTAAATACTTCCCCATCTCCTAGCCATCTTATCTGAATGAAGAGCTAAGATAGCGTCAATCACAGAGCCACACTTCTACACTGTTTCATTTTTAATTTTTTTTACAAAACATTATTACACCGAATTGGGATGTCCACTCCTTTATTAAACTCGCACCTACAAAAATATAAAAAATTATTTATTATAAAATAAAATGACTAAATACCCCTGAAAGTATTAGGGGTAATTTGATCATTTATTTTTATAAATACATTTTTAAATACTTTTAGGTATTGCTCATGGAGATGACATGTACCAAATTTCATCTTCATATGATTTGTAAAAGTAAATAAAAATAAAATACTATAAAACGTCAGATCTAGATCACATAATCAATGACTCACTTATGACATTATGAGATAAGTAACCTAAACTGTCCATTTAAATTGAATGGCCAGATAGGAGGAAAATTATATAAAATATTTATGGCTGGGAAATATAGATAGTTTTTTCAAAAAAAAAAAAGGGCAAGCTTTCTATGCTTTCCCTACAACATATAAGTTCCATCCTCCCCCTTATCCAACCGTTCATTCTGAATGGAGGACTAAGATTGCCCCAATCACAATGTGACATCTCTACACTATTTTATTTCTATAACTATTATGACACCAAATTTTGGACGTTCATTCCTCTATTAAACTGGCACTAACGAAAATATAAAAAAATATTTTCAATAAAATAAAATGATCAAAGTACCCTTGAAAGTTTTATGGGGTATTTTGGTCATTATATTTTATCGAAAAATTATTTTTAATATTTTTTATAGGTGCGCCCCAATGAGAAGATGGCATGTACCAAATTTCATATTCATATAATATGTATAAAAAAAAAACTAAAAATAAAATACTTAGAGACGTCGGATCTAAGATCAAACGGTGAGTAGCTCTCTCTTGATCAAAATTGGACGGTTGGATAGTAGGGGAAGGAAAGAATTTATATACTGTAAGGGAAATATAGAAACCTTTCCCTAAATGATTATGTACTTTACCTTATAATACGTACATTTATAAGTAATTTACATATTAAAAAGGGGTCATCTGGCTTTAATACCAATGCCAGCACCAGGTCCATAAATCTGCCTCGCGCTAGGAGCCTGAGCCCACATGGCCGCGAGGCCTATTGAGCTGCCCGGCTTGCTTGCAAGTTTATTGGCATCGACAAACCTATACGAGGGACTGACAGTTAGATTTGAATCGGGTGGTTGAGGATGTAAGAAGGTCGACAAACGTATACGAGCCCAAATGGCTTGCTTGCCATTTGATATAAGATGGTCACAATCTTTATTGACCATTAGATTTAAATCGGATAGTTAAGGATGTGTCACTATTTGGGCACAAAGTCCAAAATAAAATTTTTTGAATATTCTGTGACACTTTCATCTATTGGATTTCAAATCCAATGGCTAAAAGTGAACATGATCTCCATATACCAAAAATCAATAGTCCTATAATATACAACTCATAGAAAAATGGCGTTGTAGGGTGGATTAAAAATGGATTTGTGAAGTAGATCATCCACTCACCAATCTCATGTTACATCGCTAATCAATTGGGATCGGAGAGGAAGGAAAATATTGAAAGGAAAAATGAAAATATAAGAAAAAGCTGTATGGGACTTTAAACATTGTAATATACCAAAACAAGCAATTAAACATGAACAAATAAAAAAAGAAGGGGATTTTATGTTATAGCAATGACTCTAAAAGGTGCTATGAGAGGGCTCACTGCACTCGTTATTAGGGAAGAGCAGGACTCTTTCTGTTAGGTGTAATTCAGGCCCTCTTGTTATTCGTGGCTGAAATGACGTGGAAGAAGCTTGGGTACCTGAGGACCCTGCTAGCTTATTATTAGAGGAGAATCATGGAACCAATGTTTTAAAACACACAGATCGGTGATTAAAGTCGGTTTGGATTTGCGGATCTACAGTTTGGATCGGCAATCTAGCGCGGGTGAATTGGCAGGTAAACATATAAAAAAAGAACAAAAAAAAATTGTGTGGCCCAATAGGCTAGTTCTCTGACTGAACCAGTCATATCTATGACTGGTTCTGTCAAAAATCAACATTTTTTAAAAGCCTCTTGGAACAATGAGATTCTAGCAAAGAGACTTGCCTGTGATACAGAAATAGAACTTACCTATTTGGATATTCTTTTTGTGCATATTGGATGGAGATAACTGTGCATGGAGACGCACTAGCTGAGGTGTATTGAAGTCCTCTTAAGTTTGACGTACTTTGAAGCATATGCACCAGTCAGGGGGTTCACGAAGTCCTATTAACTATTACAAATTTTGAATTTTGAAGCTTTTTAGTAGTGTTTTATTGTTCATTCCTCTCATATTGATCTCTATCTAGATCGATTGGATCGATTGACAGTCCCAAAACATGCAAAATAGAATTAATTATTTAGTATATCATATAAAACGTAAAATTTATATTATTTGGCGTGAATGGCTTTGTTGGGACGACATTCTGGCTTTCTACATGACAGGGTTCAATCCTTCTGTGTATGCATAAACTTTAAACGATAAAATAGAGGAGAATAAAGCATTTAATATTTTTAATGTGATAAGAAACATATTTTTGAATATCTTAAGAAAATTGACCGCGACCTTGAGCTCAAGAACCGCCTAAGGCCTAACGCCACCATCAGACCTTTTTTGTCATGAAGAGTATATATTATATATTATCATAATAAATCGTTGATTCTGTCCTGAAATTGGTCATTGGACAACTCTCGATCTTGATTTCTGATCCGGATCGATGACTTTGAAATAATTTTTTTTGTAGAATTGGATAGAAGTTCAATTTAAGAAAACAAAGTTTATATAAAGTTGCAACTTTATTTGCAGCAGTAATGTTGCAACAATCTACATCGTTCGACTTTTTAGAGAATGTAGATTCAACATTATCTCTTTATATTGTTTTAACAGATGTATCAAATTTACACCGTCCAATTAAAATGAACGTTGCAAAGAAGTACAATATTAGTTTTATATAAACCCCACCCAATTTTATAAGGTTGCAGTTTGCACGGATGCATCCGTAGGTATAGAGTTAAGGTGCACCTTCAAATTCTATCATGATATATAATTTTGATGTAAAATGTTCTTAGGATTTTCTTAAAATCTATTTTTATATCTAATTATAAAATTTTAAATTTCAAAAATAGTTAAAATCAAGTAGATCTATAAACATACGAAAATCTTGAAAATTGACGGTGTAGATAATATGTTGTAAAATGCACTATTTCTAAGACTTAAAATCTTTTTATTTTTCATAGTCATACATCTCGATGTTGAGATGATCAATCAAAGAGTTTTTCAACATTAAAACTACCTTTCCTATGGATTTTTTAGGGACATCCGTAGTTCTACATTATAAAGTAGCATCCTTATATAAACTTTTTCCATTTTATAAACGAAGGGAAAACGACACATATACTGTTTGGGAGTTGTCCAAGTACTTAAGCTATAGAAAGAAGCTCTCCTTTATACATGTTTGCATTTAGATGACGCATCCCGGTTTCTCAACATTAGAATTAGCAATCATTAAAAAACTTACAAACGGATTAAGGTGGGCTGTAATTTACGTATATTTATTGCTCTTGTTTGCTAGGTTGGTCCCGCATTTAAGGGCTGACAATGACGGGTCAGCCCCGGCTTGAGAACGGCTCAAACCTTTAAAGAGCTAGTCTAGTCTAGGCTTGGCATGGCCTGCAGCAGGCATAGGGTCCTAGCTTTGGCTCTTGGGACAGTTCAGCCTAGTAGAAATTTAGGGTAAAAAAGAAGGATAAAAATAACCATGGCAAAGACCCTAGCCCAGAGCCAGCCCGGCCGGACACTTTGGTTGTGGTTTCTGGCACAGGCCTAGGCCTAGGCTTGGCCTTGTTATTATATTTTTAGCTCGAGCCCAAGTTTTTTAGGTCGCACCGACCAGGTCAAGCCAGGCCCATTACAAGCCCTATTTAGGGCCACTATCAAAGGTCATGCGGCATGAGATTTTCTTGCTCGGCTGGGCCAAGACGAGGCCTGTGCTTTTGGTGAGGTTAGGTGCATCAGCTGACCACCCATTTTCGTCCGTCTGTCCTCCAAAATCCAAGATAGGGATGGATTTTGGATCCAAAATTTTAGGGGAAGATGCATGGACATCATAGATATGAAATGATAAATAAAATTTAAAATTTTGAAGTGGTACTTTTTTGCTCCAATTTGCACCATTTTTGAAGCTGTTAAAAGATGGATCGAAAGCATAACTAAATTTCCATTTACTTAAGTTTTGTGTTACATTCTAAATCAACGAAAAATCTAGGTGGACTCCATGGCAACTCCTGCAACATTTTTTTCCTTTTTTTTCTTTGAACAACCTCAGGCACGAATGTCATGGGAAACAGTGGGAATTGTAACATGATGCTCTAGTTGCAGACATTCAGTTACCTACTTGCGGGATTGGTTGTACCACTTGTCGAAAGCATACTGATCAAGGACTCGGACATTCCATGGTTCGAAGGGCTAAGATCCTTGATTGCAATCGAGCTAGTATCAGTGGAGATCGACAGTCGGGTTGTGAAAGATGGGGGTGTAGAAATGTTGATTTGCCATTACAAGGGGCTCTCTTCCTACATCTGTGCGTTACTATGGTCCAGCTCTAAATGAAAGCCCGTTTGGCTAGGCCTTGATTTGCCTTCTGCTGAGACCTATTCGGAGAGGCATTTTGTCGAACAATTTTAATGCAGTCACAATGAGCATGAATTGTTACCCATTTGCTCATGGATCGTCACAGGGTTGACAATAAGTTTCTGCACCTGTCTCTAATAAGATTGGTGCCATGCATGAACCTGTCTCTAATAAGCTTGAAGGTCTCCCGTTGCCATGCATGAAGTGGGATGTTTGATGCAGTGACCCAAATCCTCTGTTCTTTGTTTTTGAGTCTCAAATCCTCTGTTTCTTAAGCACTCCAATATGTGATTACCAAAGAGCTGGGCAGAATTGAAGACTAGGTGGGTTGGTGAGTCTCCTGGGAATAGGGCTGCAACTGGTTAAGTGCTCGCCACATGTTTGCTTAATGATGGTCCATGTTGTTGTACCATATTGAATGAAAGCACAACTTTGATGCATAGCAAGTGATCTACTTCTCAAAATTCATTTTTCATGTAGGTTTTGCCTTGTGGTACTGTTTCCTTCAGTTTACCATTTCGCCATCGTATTTGAGTTTGGAGTGCTCTTTTCTCCGATTCATAAAAATTATGAAAAGATAAAAGAAAAATAAAAAAGCTCTTTGTTAATAAAAAAGTTGTATAATCTTAAAAAAGTTGTATAATATTTCCATGTTTATTTGAGTATTCAATGTTTAAATCATATCAACAGTCTTTGGTAAATTGGAGAGATCAGGGCCAATTCCCGATTTTGGGAAGCAATCAAGCCGATCATCCTGCCATTCCGATCCGGATCAGCGAACTTCAAAACCCTGCTGAAAAGCATGCCGTTCAACAAAGACTGAAGCAAGTAGTGAACCATAACTAGAAGTAAAATTTCTGGTCCAAACCAGCAAAGCAAGCTCAGTGTTTCGTAAACCATACACCATAATACCAATAAAAAACTTAGCACTGCCCCAGTACACACTGAATCAGCGTTTTTAACTTTTAATAGGGCCTACATGCTGATAAACATTGCCATAAAATGCAGCAAATGCAATAAATAATATATCAAATGTCTCCATGGACCTGCAAAATTGATACACAACCCATTATTCTAAGACCACCTTACTGTTACACTCTTCCGACCACCTTAAGTGAAACCCACCACACAGATCACAGGATAGTCGACCGATAACAAATTCGGACCCTCCCTTACCGGCGACTGAGCTATTCACCAAGCTTTTTGTTGCTTAAGAGGGACAAATCGTGTCAATTCATGCCTTTCGTAGTTTCATATCCTCATAGGCTGGTTCCCGGATCGGTTCCTTCTCAATTTGGTTGGCTTTGGCTGTGTTTTCTTTGTATACAAATCTTGGAATGGATTGGCACCATTCTCTCCCAGTCCGAGTTCCCGATTCCTAAGCTTTTTCCTCTTACCACGATCATATTCCTCGTCCCTAAATAAGCCCAAACATTAGAAAGGCTCTCACGGAAATAAGTTTTAATCGGTTTTTCTTCGCTCTTATTCTCTAAAGACGTTCATTTAACAGTTCATAGAAGCTCAATGGAGATAAACGTATAGTAACTTAGTGTGCTACCCAAGTTCAAAACAACTCATAAGAGCACAATTTAGCACAAATTGGTTTCCTACCAATTAAGGTGAAAGTGCAGTCGTAGTAAATGTTAAGAACTTCAGAAAAATCAATATGAATTCAATTTAGCATAGATCTAAATTGACAAAGATCTTAGGCAAAGGTAAAATGATGTTTTATGTTCTTACCATTCATCCAGTATATAACCAATGCCAGTCTTCCGTGTTTCAATCACTCTATCGATCTCAGGGGACTCTGTTTCTACACCATCCCACCGGCCAACTACACATAGATTGAGGAAGTAAGTAAATATACAGAGAGAGAGAGAGAGAGAGAGAGAGAGAGAGAGAGAGCCCACCAGTGGTTTCTGAGAGTGCCGTTGCTAGCAAGGTGGTAGAAGAAGTCTGAACCAAGCCTCTCTTCTTTGAATTGTCTGTTTGCTCCATGGCCAGCATACCATTCTTCTGATGCAATCTCTCTACTCCCCCGTCTTTCACCTTCACATGCTTATCATTTGAAGATTTTGCATCATTCACTACGCCAAGACCTCTCTTTTGTTTCATTCCATTATGGCATGATCCATTTGCACTGTTTGGTGGCCCTCTCTCATCTCTCTCAGCAGCGTTCATGCAAGTCTCCCTCCTTTCATCATCACCCACAAAGTCATCCTGAGTGGAGCTCTTGATATCTTTCTTGAGCCTCTTAGTTTTTTTACGTGACTTTTTCTTATGAGGTCTTAAAGATGCAAGGAATAAGCTCTTAGACGTGCCCTTTATGATAGGATAGCTACTGCATTTCTTTCGCTTGAGCCCTTCCTTGCCGGGACTGTTACTCTTGGTTTCAAAGCAAGTGCTGGATGACCCCTGAAACACAAAAAAAAATAAAAATAAAACAACAGATCAATTAAAAACAAAATATCAAGCACTAAAATATTGCCCATAAAAGGAAAGGTCAATTACTACTATATATTACTCATGCCTCCCAACTGAAACTCATAAGCCTGCCCATGTCTTCTTGCCAGCAAAATTGACTTTTGCTTTCAAAATCCTCAATTTTCTTTATGAGTGCAAAAAGCGGTATAATGAATCCCATCTTACCAAACTTTATATACAGCGGGAACTAAGATTCAAAAGCAACCAAATACCATTATGCATGCATGCACAGATATCACCAAGGGTCAATTTTCTCCTGTGAAATGACACAGCCTTAATCACCAAGTCCCAAGTGTTGACTAGGTCCAAATTTGCAAGCAAAGGTGGGCATAATGTACAGCAAGCCACGTCTAATTACTCCACACGCCATTAGACAGTGCCTTTTCATGAGTAATGCACCAGAAGTCCCCCATGGTCCTGGCTTTTGTCAGTGATGCACCACAAGCCACAAGCAACCAAATAGCACTATTCATTTGTGAGTATGGCTTTCACTTATCCCGGGTATATAAAAGTTACACTGAGTGGCCATGCTAGCCATTATCACAGGGCCCTTATACAACCACCATAAAAATCTATCATCTTATAGTACCCACACATGGGGGCTTGATTAAACCTTGCTAGAAAGCAAGGTTATATAAAAGCAACCAACCAACGCAACAACAGCCACTATCACAGGGTTCCTCTAGAACCACCATAAAAAACTTTTCCTCTTATAGTACCCAGCCATGGGGGCTAGATTCGGCCTGGCTACAAAGCAAGGTTATATAAAAGCAATCAACCAACACAACAAGGCACAAAGTTCATATGGGAAGGGCCATGCCCACTTCGTTTTTAGGTTTATTCGTGATCACGAACACCCAAGTAATCCATAATAAATTCCTTTCACTGGAACCAGGTTGAAGTTCTTAACTGTACGCGACTGCAGCCTGGCCACATGGCCTTTCAGTTTCACTCTCCTGCAAGATCTCTGGCCACAGGTTCCAACCACCCATGCTTGGCAGCACAGCCACACAAGCATATGGTTACAAAGTTACAACTACTGTTGTAGGTATCAACTTAAAGGTTGATTGGCCAAGGCCTAAAGTTTTGAGGATTTGGATCACCTTCGTCATTAAGTTCCTCATGCATAGAGGAGGGAAGTGAGAGAAACACCTATTTGAGCCCGCCCAACCAGCAAGTGCCTGTACAGTTCCTTGAAACCCCTCGAAGTTTTGATGCCACAAGGCCTCTCTCCAACAAGCCAAGATGGTGATTAAGTTTAAGGCCATCGGTTACAGGAAGTTCATCTCATACATGGCTTCTAAAAGCCTGTTTCCCTAACGTAGGAACTTGGCCCACAGGTCTAATCTTATACAAGAAGGTAACAAAGGACCCAAGCTACTAAAAGAATGAGGCCGTTTACAATTGTTGAAACCAATGAAGGGATTAGTCACTGCGAAGCCTTCATTGGTATTAACAACTGCAAACCCTCAAAAAGGCTATTTTTTGAGTCGGTTAGCTGGGCACAAACCCAACACCTCATGGTCACAACAAGCGCTTTCGAATTGAACAATGGGCTTGAACCCCTGAACCTCACAATCATTCACCAGCTTGGTCAAGCATTAACTCCCACTACAGAGCACTAGCAACCACTCCTGTAGTCCGCCAATGTTCATCATGTGGCCGCCCATGCCCCATGCACATCCACCCTGCAGTCATGTAAACCCTTCCCCATTCATTGCCTTTTGAAAAATGGCTCAGGTAACGACAGCATAACCATCAGATGGTCAATGTGTAGCATACATTGAGGCCTGGCATCGAATAATTGGACACTACCTTAAGGAAACCATAGCACGATCAATGTGTTTCATACACACTGAGGGGTGGCATCCACCAATTGGAGTGATACCGCGAAAATAGGGAATGGAAAGAAACCAGAAAACATTCACCGGTGAAAGAAGCCAACAGAAAAACTAGCTAGAAACCAAATGAGGTTGGACCGACCCCACCCGATTCCTTCTTGCTTTCTCGCTAACAAAAACTCCACCTTGGATTGCGTCTTGGTAAGTTTTACTCGGAATTTCTTATTCTCCGTTTTTCCCCACTTTTTTCCCTGCAATCAAGGAGGAATATGTATGTGCAAGTTGGAACAGATACAAACAGTTCATAATAGAAAAGGATCTTGAACACGCAAAACTTTCTTGGTTCAAGACCCCTTGGCTTAAAAGGGCAAGCCAGGCTGAACTCGGAATGTCTAAAAAGGTGTCTTTTTACGGGTCTAAGAAAGAAACACTTTTCCAGCTGAAACTACAATTTAAAAGAAATTCAAACAATATATTCTCATCAGAATTTTAAATATAGGTTTATTAATTTTCATTGTTATTAAGTTCATTTCTTTTCTTTTTTTGACAAGGTTACATAGGAATGGAATTTGAGACGAAGTGCTATAAAAACCCAGCTGCTACCATCATGACCCAAGCCTGATTCCTAGTTCATTTCATATATTGTAAATTATGCAT